ACGACTGGCATCCCATCCAGGGGGGGAGTAGAAATACTCCTAGTCGCTTCATGCTACAGAAACCGGAGTTAAGCACCGGCCTAATGGGCCACTAGGCTCATAAACAGACTTTAATTTAATGTAAACGAAGTGGGAAAAGGTTTGAAATTCTTAAGAGCCGCGGGCAACCACTCTTTTTGACTATTTGCATGAAGCTGGCACCGGTTTCACTGAACCAAGACAAACAACAGTTTTGTACAATAGATTCTTTTCTTCAGTTATTCTGTGCCACATATTTATTATTTTTTTGATGTTCTGGTTCGTAGTGGCAGGGGTTTTGATAACTTTTTCCATAAGCGGCTTCCGTTGGTGAAATTGACGGCTGTGCCTATAAAAAGATCTGAAGGTGAAACCCAAACACGAGGGCCTGCTACCGGGCTTAAAAGACGGTGGTAACCGCCAATAACAGGATTCAGTGGAAACCCTCGTAAGACACCCTTATTTCGACAAATGAACCGCTGGACTTCATTTTCCGTCAAATTTAAAGCTGCAAATTAATCGCTATACCTTCCATTATCTTGTAATCCGCTGGAGCACAGACTCGTTCGATCTTCGCCCTTGATTCCTAAAATTGAAGAGGAAGGGAGTAACTTCGGTGAATAAAAAGTGAAGAACATCGTTGACATCTTAACAAAAGGAAAAACGTGAAAATATTACCGCCCACTTTGACGGTAATTACTCTGACCTCTTTTTCTTTCGAAGGTAGCCTTGCATTTCTGCGCTTTCTTCTTCTAAGACAGAAACAAAAGAAGGTATCATTATTCATTTTTGCTTTATAGCTTCCTAGTAAATAAACAGCATTGTAACATCTTACCTCCTCTTCTCTGGTTTGTTTTCTTCCATTACGTCGGTTAAAAAAAGGTCTTAAATGAATGACAACTTGATCAAATGTTTACTTACTATTCCGCAGTGTTAGATAATGTTGTTCAAATGCAAAATGATGTCACATATGTCAAGAGTTCAACGACTCTCGCGCGCGCGCGATTTCTGCGCGTGCCGAGCCTCCCGCTGAATGCTTTGCGCACGTTCATTTCAACTCGTACACGATTGGCCAAACTCATTTGTACTGAGAGCCACTCGTCTCCCCGAACACCAGCCCAAAGAAATGAGGCACAGCATTTAAATTCACAGACCTCGCAGCATAAACGTTCCAAACATTCCTACGTTATGCAATTTGAGACTGAGCTGTTCACCCTCATGCAATTTGCGGTCTTGAGCTTAGAGTTAAAAAAAAAAAGAAAAAGACGAGCTTCACGTGGGTTTCTGACGAATACACGTGTTGCGAAAATGCGACTCGTACCCAGTGACCGTTGTTCCTAAAACGCACGAGAGAGTTGGAAAAGTATTACTAAGGCACGCAACAAAGGGCCGACGGGATAGCATTAGGGAGGAGTAGAATTTCAAGACTTTACTAAAAATTGTTTGAATAAAGAACACTTTATTTTTTAGCTATGAATTTAACTTGCCAATGCTATGTACAAAATACTGGAGGGGTGAAAATATCCACTCTGAGTTATTGTTCGAAATAGTCACAATATTAATCGTTATTACACTAAGTGACTTTGAAATTCTTTACATTTACGCTTAAAAATAAATTGAGTTGCGCACATGTTCGTACTCTATTACATTTCTTAATGTTTCGTATTGAAAAAATAACATCATTGAAAATATCAATTAAGTATTCTTTACAATTATAAATTCAATAGAAAAATAGCAAAAAAAAAAAAAACTGTTGTACCCCTTCGTGAAATTGTATACTTAACTAAAATGATTGTTTGAATTATTTGTTGAGAAGCTTCACATCGTTCTTAACCTGATAGCTGTCCATCTAAAAACACCTTAGAACAATTTTCAATCGAGTGTCGAGAGTAATCTGGGATTGCTGTTGTTTTGCTTTACTTCGCTCGGTGATTGGTCCAGAAAACTCGCGCCACCCTCTCAACGAATCAGATTCTGACTAAAAACCAATCATAAGTTAGCCACCCGCGTTTTCCCGCGCTTTGTTGCCTTACTTCTCAACCATATCAGATTCAGACTAAAACCAATCATGATCTCGCCACCCGCGTTTTACCGCGCTTTATGTTTCCCTACTTCGCTCCGTGTTCGTGCAGAAAACACGCGCTATTGTCTGAACCAATCAGATTCAAAACTAAAACCAATCGCAATGTGGTCGCTCGTTCTAGCACTCAATCGAAAAACGCTCTACACTGTTAAAAATTCTTATTTGAGTGAACTCAACAACAGTTACTCACGACTGTAAATTGTTTGTAACAGAACGAACTAAAATGGCGTGATAAGTACTCAACGATAAGTTTTTAGGATAAATATTCTTTCTTCGATACAAAACTACTGATCAGATTCGTAGTTTTCCTTCAAGTTTTGCACAATATTTTGGAACGGAATCAAGTCTCACCATAAAAATATTGACTTTTGTGGCCTATAAGATAATAACAGACGATATAAAAGGTTTAAGTTCATCTAAAATATTTTAGGATACCAAATATAATCCTTTCACTCAAAAAGAAAAAACAATTAAAAATTATAAAAATCGAAATTCATATTTTCACATTGTTTTGTAAACTGTCTTAACACTAAGTGTTTCCGGGTCTGAGAAGCTCTCCATGTTTTTTCCGGTGTTTTTCCTAAGCTAATTTTAAATTTTTCAGTGGGACGCGATTTTCAGTAGGTATGACAACTCATAATTCCTCAACCACTCTCACTCTCACTCTCTTCGTTGAGGGTTTGTCTAAAACCCTCTCAGAGTCTTTGGTTCATTAATAATTAAATAATGTCTCGACGTTTTATGTTTCTGCATACGTCACGAGAAAGCATAACTATCGGCGAAACTAAATTAAAATTGTTTAACGTGAAATCTAGATTGGGGCAATTAAAACACGAACTCCGCGCTCCGACGAGGATTTGCCTCCCCCAGGGGTAGGCACCGCAAGTATGAGCATTTTTCTCCGGGGAAGACTACTTCTGTTGGTTGCGGTTGCTGGCAAGTATATAAAGATTGCACGGTGCATTTGGGTTGTCGGCAGGTTTACTCTCAACAACTGCAATGCTGTTTGGAAAGATAGAATAACGACATTAATCCTGTTTGACACAAGTTAAACATTTAACCCACACTTTACGTCTTCTTCTTTTTCACTAGAACCTTCTTATTCTGTTTTCTTTTTCCTTTGTTTTCTCAACAGCTTAACTTAGGCTCGGTTCCTATAACCATAAACGAGACTGACCGAGTGACTTTCTGAATAAAGGCTGATAGTTTCGAAAGAAACTGTTCGGGGCTGCGTCGGAGGGAGTAACGAAATAATTTGGATATATCAACAAAGTTGAAGTGGTAAATTGGCCACCGTAACGATTACAAAAGCTGACGTTTCGAGCGTTAGCCCCTCGTCGGAGCGAATAGAGGAATTGTGGGTTGTGTGTGCTTTTAAAGGCAGAGAATGGAGCTACGTTATTGGTGGGAAGTGACTTTCTGACTGACTTAGTGACTGACGAAGAGACCCACGGGCTGACGAACTTACTTGTCATTTAATTCTCTGTCTGTCTGTCTGTCTCTCTGCCTGTCTGTCTGTCTGTCTCTCTGCCTGTCTGTCTGTCTGTTTCTCCTTCAGTTATTCTGTGCCACATATTTATTCTTTTTTTAATT